GACCTGGCCTAGGGAGGATTTTATACTGGGTTCATTTTAAGGAATTTGAAATAACACAACTCTAAAATTTGGTTTAATTCGGTTTTACAGGGGGGGATTGTATATATGCCTTTGTTTTAAATATGTTGTGCGCCGCCCTGAGTCCCGCCGGGAGAAGGGCGGCATATAAATTAAATAAAATAAATAAATAAATAAATAATACCACAAACAACTTTGTGGTATCTTTAACCAATTAAGACCATAATTTTTTTATATATTATAATATACTAGTTAGTCTTTATGGTGCCATAAGATCCTGTTTATTTTTCACTGTAATAGATTAGAAATATATAATGAGCAATTAACTACTGAAACTATACTTCAAGAAAATAAAGCTATTTATAAATGCAAAGCTAGCAAATAGTATGTTATGACCAAGCATTATATAAGATTGTTTGAAATTCTTTTTATATAACCATTTGCGTTGGATACTAAATAAATTTTTAGCAAAAAAAAAAGTTTTCCCCCCTAATGCCAAATATCATTTTTTGATATGTTATACTGCCTTTATATTCTTCCACAGAATATCCCCCGACAGGAAATATTAGCATTAGTAAATTCCTAATACTTAGGAAATATCTTATTTTTAAACTGCAATAGATGGGCACCCAGCGTAAAAGATTTTTTTCCATGCTGGATCTTAATAAATTCTACATACTATGATCATTTAAGGGTCTTTATATACTCATCAAAGAATCATATTGTTTACACAACAAGCAGATTCTCTCATCTATCCTTGCACTCTGTCTACATAGAGGTGGATTTATATGCAGTTTTTTCCCCTTGGCCATCAAAGCATATTTCTATGCATACCAACTTGAAAGGAAATCCTTTCAGAAAAATTAATTCAATGTTATCCTGAAATAACTAAACCAAATCAAGTACAATATAGCCTTGAACTTGGTATGTAACAGAGGCTAGCTTATTCCCAATTTATTTGGAGAAAAATCTTTTTTTTTAATGTGGGGATTCATATTGCCCAGGTAAAAATGGCATTGATTTCTTTAGCAGAACTACACTTGCAAATTAAACTGAATTAAATAAATCTGGGGTCTTCAACCTTTTGGTCAAATATCACATGTGTGTGTTTGCGTCTGTATGTGTGTATCCGTATGTGAGAAAAACAGCTTATGGCTTGAAAGAAAAATAACTTTTAGATGCAGTCTGCCATAAAAAAAACAATGCTTCCTAATTTAACACTTGTGTATTCATGTTTACCCTTCCCATTATCATCTGAAGAATCACAGACCAAATAAGATCTGTATATTAAATCTCTTGTGTTTGCTTGTTATCTTCAGTTGGCCAAAAATAGAAGGTATAAGGCAACAATTATTGAACCCAGATAAGTCAGAGGGGATAATTTGCAGAATGCCAGGATCCATGACTCCTATGGAAACAACATTTGGGAAAGTTGTGGCCACTTCACTTCAGTAGCACATCTTCCAAGTACACTTTTCAAAAACCCACAGGTTATGTGGCACAACCTGTGGCCTCTGTACC